TCTCTATAGAGAGATCTCTCTATAGAGATCTCTATATAGATATATACATGTAGATATATACAATGGTGTTGGGTTAGACCCACTGTGAGGACAGCAAAACAAATGTTACAGGGGGTTAACCCTTCCCTATGCTATCCAAAACTAAACAAAATGTTTTTTTTGGCTGGAGTTACAACAATATACCTGTTCCAACTTGCATACAAATTCACAGTCCCCATCATGTTCGTAAAATTATTACTGTTATTATTATTATACAGGATTTATATAGCGCCAACAGTTTGTGCAGCGCTTTACAATATAAGGAAGACATTACAATACAATTCAAGACAAGATGGTAAGGAGGGCCCTGCCTGTGAGGGCTTACAATCTAAAAGGGAAGGGGAAGTGATACATGAGGAAGCTGTGTGGGGATGAATTGTTTGAGAAAGTGATAGTTCCGTTCATATAAAAGTTCATATAATGTATATATATATGTGTATACACAGTGTATTCAGACCCCTTCACTGTTTTCAACTGTATGTTGCAGCCTGATACTACAGTTGTTTAAATTCATATTGTTTTTCCGTTTCTCCTTAATCTATACTCAGTACCCCATAATGACAAAGTGAAAATTTTGCACACCTGGATTGGGAGATTTTCTGCCATTCTTTGCAAATCCTCTCACGCTCAGTCAGGTTGGATGCGGACTGTCGGACAGCCATTTTTAGGTTTCTCCAGAGATGTTCAAGTCAGGGCTCTGGCCAGGCCACTCTAGGACATTCACAGAGTTGTCCCTAAGCCACTCCTGTGTTGTCTTGGCTGTGTGCTTAGGATCATTGTCATGTTGAAAGGTGAAGCTTTGGCCCAGTCTGAGGTCCTGAGCGCTGTGGAACAGGTTTTCATTGAGGATATCTCTGTACTTTGCTCCATTCAGCTTTCCCTCAACCCTGAACAGTCTCCCAGTCCCTGCTGCTGAAAAACACCCCCACAGCATGATGCTGCCACCACCATGTTTCACTGTTGGGAGGGTAATGTGCAGGTGATGAGCAGTGCCTGGTTTCCTCCAGAGATGACATTTATAATTGAGGCCAAACATTATAATCTTGGTTTAATCAGACCAGGGAATCTTGTTCTTCAGTCAGTCCTTCAGGTGCTTTTTTACAAACTCCAAGCAGGCTTTCATGTGTTTTGCACTGAGAGGCTCCCCTCTAGCCACTCTGCCATAAGAGTCAGATCAGTGTAGGGCTGCAGTGATGGTTGTCCTTCTAGAACTTTGTCACATCTCCACACAGGATTTCCGGAGCTCAGTCAGAGTGACCTTCGGTTTCTTGATCACCTCTTACTAAGGCTCTTCTCCCTTGATTGCTCAGTATGGCCAGGCGACCAGCTCTTGGAAGAGTCCTGGTTGTGCAAAACATCTTCCATTTGAGAATTATGGAGGCCACTGTGCTCTTGGGAACCTATAGTGCAGCAGAAATAGTTTTGGAGCCTTCCCTAGATCTGTTCTTGCAATAATCCTGTCTCAGCTCTGCAGGCAGTTCCTTTTGACATCATGGCTTTTTCTCTGATACAGTATGCATTGTCAGCTGTGAGGCCTTCTATAGAGAGGCGTGTGCCTTTCCAAATCACGTCCAATCAATTTAATTTACTACAGGTGGACTCCAATCAAGGTGTAGAACATCTCAGCAACAATCATAAGAAATGGGAGGCACCTGAGCTAAATTTCAAGTCTTGTTGCAAAGGGTCTGAATACTTGCGCCAATGTGATGTTTCAGTTTTTCCTTTTTCATACATTTTGCAAACATTTCTAAAATGCTGTTTTCACTTTGTCATTATGGGGTACTGAGTGTAGATTGAGATAATTTTTTTTTAAATAACTGTAGTATCAGGCTGCAACATAACAAAATTGAAAAATATATTAATGCCCCTGCTCTGCAGGCACACAGCATGTGTTTTGAGGGTAAAGACTGGTACAGGGGGCCTGGGGTGTCTGGAGAGGGGGAAGGCTGGTGCATGTGGGCCCATAGCTAGTGGTATTCTGCATTGCTGTATAATTTATTGCTGGGATTTTTAGTCATCTATACAGGGGTCGAACTACCAGGATCACAGCGCTTGCAACTGCGACCAGGCACTAGAGTTTTGCCAGTTGGGGAAGCGGGACGGGAGGAGAACCCAGACCCCTTTTATCCTTTTTCTAAAATCATTAGTCTGTATTGTTTTACAAAAACTGTCAAATGACACACAAAGTATCGGTAGTTGGTATCTGCGAGTACTTAAAGGAGAACTATGAGGTGAGTGCTTTTCACTCACCTTATAGTTCTAGCCGACCTGTGACAATGAGACTGTCACAGGTCGGCTCAGTAGATCGGGAGGTGAGCGAACACATACCGGGTTCGCTCGCCTCTCGATCCTGTCACGGCTCTCTGCCGTGACAGGGAGAGGGGCTGGATTCCCCTCTTCCCCGCTCTGATCTGCCAGCGCTGACTGGCGGAACGGACGGGGGAGGGTACAGCTGGCTCTGCCTCTAGATAGGCAGAGCCAGCTGTCACTCAAGCAGCTGGGCGGATCCCATCTACGTCGGGATCAGCTCCGGCTGCGGCGTCTCAGTATACCGTGAGCTGTAGCTCGCGGTATACTGAGCTTAGGGTAACGGGAGGACGCTAGTTTGTGTCCTCCCGTTACCCTAAGGAGAACTATGGGGAAAAACACTGACCCCATAGTTCTCCTTTAAGGGAAAGTATCGGTACTTGGTCTTGAAAAATTGGTATCGGTGCATATCTCCTTAGACCGCTGGAGTGGAGGGTGAGAGAGACTGGAAGGACCGCTCTGAGAGCCAGCCGGTTCCAAGGGTTCAAGTGATCAACTTTTTTTTATTTTACACTCTACAAGGTGAAAACAAGCACTTAACCCTTGCAGTGCGGGGGTAGATCCACTGCAAGGGTTACAA